TGAATTTATTTAATGCACGAGTTTCACAATTTGAGTTGAATTACTGAAATAAATGAACTTTTCCACGACATTCTAATTTATTGAGATGCACCTGTATATTAAGACTTACACCTATCAAGAATTTCAGAGAATATATTTTAAAGAAGACATATTATGCCCCTTTTTACAATATGTAATATAAGTTTCTGGTGTCCCCAGAATGTGTCTGTGAAGTTTCAGCTCAAAATGCTCCACAGATAATTTATTACATCATTTTGAAATGCCTATTTTGAGTGGAAACAGAAACACGCTGTTTTAGGGCCTGTCTCTTCAAATGCAAATGAGCTGCTGCCCCTTCTCCAGAATAGAGCTGTGCCATTACAGCTCGGACCTCCTAAAAACATCTGTTATGGTTCTAATTATCATGTTTATCACGCTGAAATCATGTGGTTTAGACCATATGAGTTTAAACTTCAGATATAAGGTTTTCTGAAAGCACACATCCGAAGCACACGCACAGAAAGCGGCTGTCACAGCATGCGAGTACTAAACTAAGTTCTCATTCACACACAAGTTTACGTTAAAAACACACGAGTTACAAAAACAGTGGGTTATGTCTGTGAAGGTAAACTGCTGGGAAATAAATCGCATGTTTATTTTAGATCTAAATAGTGTTCTGTGCTCGTCTGTGCAGACAAAGGCAGAACAGTTAGCATGTTTTGCTCAAACTTTCGTCATGGCATTAGAACTAATACACCGTTGTCGCTTGCGAAAACACAATGACAGCGCTGTGGGTGGAAACTTACAGATTAAGGGGCGGTAATATTATAATGAGATCCCTTTGCAACGTCACCAAGGGAGTGAAATCAGACGCGCTCGTTTTCTCAGACGCATACTTAATTCAAAGTACTCTATTTGCATTATTATTTTAGGGATGTTTAGATGTTTAAAATACACTTACATTACACATACATTACCTGAAAACTATTCTTAATGTATTATGTTGTAAGCACAGCGAATGCAAGTTTTTAAATATTTTTAAACGAAAAACGAGTAATTTTTGCAATCTATCATGAAATTACCCATACTGCCATGCAAGATTTCAGTCCTACAGTAAAACAATGAATGAATCTTTATATTCTCAGTTTAGGCTTCAGCTTGCCATGTTGAATCTTGTCAATCTTGTCAAAGAACAACAGAGAAATATCCCTGGGAAATAACTAGAAAATTATACTTTTTATTAGACAGTGCAATGGTATATATATCACAAAAAAGTTTTGTTTTTCCTGGAAATTAAAAAAAAATCTGGCAATGAAACAACATTCAACGAAATGCATTGTATGAAACCAATAGTTCTGACTGGATGAAATGCATTAAAATGACTACAAAACACATCAATGCAACTCTATGAGGCAAGCCGAGCTATAAACAACTAAACAAACAAGACGTTTTTCCTTCTCTTGACTCGTATAGGACATGTTCTGCTCTGTACAGCAAAATCTCCATGCATTTTCACTCATTGTATACAGCCGTATCTGCCAGCCCTAATTGTGTGTAATTATTAGGCTTCCAGATCAATCCATCTTGCGCTTGTTTACTGCTGGTCTTTGCCACTTTTTGGCACCTCCTCCCACCCCACTCGCCATCTGTGAGTTCTCGAAATCAGTTTTTGTTTACAACGCCGCTCTCCGCTCCGTCCATCCCGTGCTTTCATGTCCGATGTGTGTCGAGGAATCTGCCCCAGTGTTGTTCATCCTTTCATTCTCTTTCAGTAACTTTGCACCTTTCCATTTCTTCACAGGCACTCGTGGGGAACAGCTGTTGAAATATTTATTGATCTGTTTCTTTTCTCTCTCTCTGCTTTATTCATATTCCTCTGTCTCTCTTGCCCTCCTCCAAAGCAAAGCAACAAGGTTCAGCACTGCCAGCTGTCAGAAAAGGAGGAGGGACTCAAATCCTCGACACACGACTCCCTTATTTAGCATGTTCAACTCTCTGGTTTCACAGCAGAGGGTGAAAGTCAGATGGTGATGCAATGATACAAGAGTCTCTGACAGCTGCTCATGGGTGGAGGGTCCTACGCTGCGAAACAATCACTTTCGTAATAAGCTTTTTTCTTGTTCTCCGTTACAAATATAAAAATACCTTTATAACAAGATATATTTACTGTGCAAGACATTAAGACTTGTTTTCAGAGAATATATCTTACTGTAACGTAGTTCACTGTAGTTCACTGACAAGCTACGGAAAATCACGTTCAAAATCGCAGGCGATTCATTGCCGATTATGAACGCGATTTTGTGTAGCTTGTCAGTGAACTACGGCTCTGTGTGGTAAATGCTGCTCCATCTGAAAGCACGTGTTGGAGATTTACTACTAATCACAGGAGCGGCTTTACTGATGAGATGCGCATGAAAATCGCATTCGATTTTTTGCACAGCCCTACTGTAACCTAAGTATTTTTAAACGTATGCTTAAAACAAGAAGAAGAAAAAATCTAATGGAGTAAGAAAAACAAACTTAAATCCAAGATATGTTGGCTTTAAACAAGACTGCATTTGCATTTTATATCTAAAAATCAATAGGGATCTACTAATGTCTGACGATATTACGGATTTTTTAAGTTTATCGGTATCGAGCAGCTGCTAAATATCGGTCAAATTAAAAATGCATTAGTTGGATATTTAATTGTGGACTTGTTTAAGATTACTTTTGTCATCTGTGATCATTACGGCAAATATTGCATTCTTTATATTGCACTATTTTACTTATAGAGCCTTTTTTATTTCAAAATGAATCGTTATCCATATTTCATACTGTACATTTTAATGCTGTAATGCCTAAATTCACTTAAACATCACAACATTTCTTTGACGTTGACAATAAATATTGATTTGAGGCTTAGTGTGCTTTATTTTTAATTTTAATTTAATTTTAGATTTAATCAACTAATAATCAGTTATAAACCATACTAGAATAATAATCATCGGTTTATCAATTTTGGATAGAAATTTAATTTCATTGCATTGTTTTAAATCACCGAGCTATGTTTTCCAGTAAAAACATTTAAGATAACATTTACCTAATATATATTATAATCAATATAATATATATTAGAACTCGTTTTCAAAGAATATATCTTAATGTAACCAAAATATTTTTAGATTTAATCTTAAAACAGGAAAAAAAACTGTTCTCCAATGAAGTAAGAAACTTTTCAAGATATTTCAAGGAATCATTTCTCAAAACAAGACTGCATTTGCATCTGACTGCATACACACTTACCACAAAACCACAACTAGTGCTTTAAAATAACTAGGGAAGCAATGCATTTTGGCTCCATTTTGGTAATCTGACAAAATTAGTGTTTTTTAATTTATCGATATTGACTATAAAATATTCAATATCTGCCAGTACTGAAAAGTTAAAAATGCATTAGTTGGATATTTTATATTTAATTAGAGACTTGTTTAGATTCCTTTTGACGTCATGCATCAATATCACGGCAAAGATTTAACTTAAGTTACTCCCGTCTTCTATTACAGAGACTTTTTCATTTCAAAGTAGGGCTGCACGATAAATCGCATGCGACATTTAATGCGCATCTTTTCAGTAAAGCCG